TGAGTCTGATGCTTTCTGTTTAAAAAGATTATTCATCCTTTTTTAAAAAAAAAATTTAGTTGTAGATGGACACAATACCTTTATTTTATTTATTTATTTTTATATGGTGCTGAGGATCGAACCCAGTGCCTCATATGTGCAAGGCAAGTGCTCTACCACTGAGCTATAGCCACAGACCATGTTATTCATCCTTGATTCAATCCCTAGATACAGGGTTATTCAGATCATCTATTTCTTCTTGCATGCGTTTTGGAAGATTGCCAAGAAGTCGGTCCATTTCATCTATGTTAGTCAACTTTCACACTGTGACAAAATAGTGAGAAAACCAACAAAGGAGGAGACATTGATTTTGGCTCATGGTCTCAGTCCATGGTTGCTGGCCCCTCCTGCAATGTCTGGGCCTGTGGTGAAGTAGAATGTCACCTCTGGGATCATGTGGCAGAACACAGCTGCTCATGCATGGTAGCTGGGAAGCAGAGAMCGAAGCAAGGAAAGGGCAGGAACGAGACCCACCCAGGAACGAGATCTACCCGCCAGGACACCCAGTGTCACCTCTGGGATCATGTGGCAGAACACAGCTGCTCATGCATGGTAGCTGGGAAGCAGAGACCGAAGCAAGGAAAGGGCAGGAACGAGACCCACCCAGGAACGAGATCTACCCGCCAGGACACCCAGTGTCACCTCTGGGATCATGTGGCAGAACACAGCTGCTCATGCATGGTAGCTGGGAAGCAGAGACCGAAGCAAGGAAAGGGCAGGAACGAGACCCACCCAGGAACGAGATCTACCCGCCAGGACACCCAGTGAGCTTCCCCAGGTAGGCCCACCTCCTATCCTTTCAAAATGGACCGTCCAATGGTCCCTTCAGTTATGAACCATGATGGACTCATCTACTGGTGAGGTCATGTTGACTTAAACACTCAGACCTTTTGCCCACCCAGGGATGCCATTTGCCGGGTTGGTCACGACTAAAACCCTCAGGGTCACTCCAGGGGACCTGGGCTAATTGGGCTGTGCGAAATAACCATACAAGAGAGAGAAATACCTTTTTCTTTGGGGGTGCTGTGACGGCTCCTCTGATCTTAAGGGTCCGCAGAAAGAGAGAGAGAGAGAAGAGAGCCCACACGTGCTGACCACTTTTATTGAGGAGAAGCCATTCAAATGAGGTAAGGGGTCAGGTTTCAGGGGCTGAGTCTAGCTTCCTGATGTCCACTGTCAGCAGGTTGACTGACACCTAGGTAGGCCACACCCAAGGGCACAGTAAGAGAAGGGGACACACAAAGGGTGTTTCCATGGAACATTCTATCCCAAACAGGGCAAGGGGTAATATTACAAAGGAACCAGTGAGCATAGCTCCACCCATGGGGCTGTAGGAAGGTGCGCCCAGGCACAAAGAAGACAGTCACTCGAACCCTAAAGATTGAGGCTATCGTCTGGGTTCCCTAGGCACCAGATCGCAGAGTGACCGACAACGATGCCACACCAATCAGAAGGGGAGACAGACATGGTCACGTGTTAGTCTGGCCTCCCACAAGGTCAGAGCCTCCAAGACCTCACCTCTGAGCACTGCTGCATCGAGACCCCAGCCCAAACCACAGGAGCCTTTGGGAACTTTCAGACTCAAGCCATATCAGTATCAAACCAGCAGGCACAGAGTCACCCACAGCACTCCTGCAGCATCTCACGGTGTCCCTGGGGTCTGTGGAAATGCCCCTGCTTCACCTCTGATGTCAGTAACCTGTGTCCTCCTTTTTCCCCGTAGTTAAATTGTCAAGAGGCTTACCAGTTTTACATCTTTTCAAAGAAACAGCTTTTTAGTTTTTTTGATGTTTCATTTCCTGTTCATAATCTAGTTTTCTTCTCTTACATTGCATTTAATTTGCTTTTCTTTTCCTTGCATTGCTGGCTTTAGACCTTTTTTCCTGATATATGCATTCAGTGTTTTAAATCTCCCTCTGATCACAGCTTTCACTGTATCCCACGAACTTTGTTAAGCTGTATTTTAATTTTTTGAGACACATGTACATATCCCCTGAGATTTGCTCTTTGACCCATGTGTTGATGGAAGCATACTAACTTCCAAGACTTCAGGGATCTCCAGCTACCATTCTGCTATTGATTGCTAGTTTAATTAGATTGTGGTCTGAAAGTGCACATTTATGATTTCTATTCTTTAACACTTGTTTAGTGTACCTATGGCCCAGAAGGTTTATATTCCATGAGAGTTTGACCAAAAAACAAACAAACAAAAAAAMCCCCTGTATTCTGCTTTTGTTGGCTGCACTAGTGCACAGATGTCAATTACATCCAGTCAACTGATGATGCCAATGAGATCCACTATGTCCTTATTGATTTTCTCCATGATAGATCCATTTCTGATAAAAGCGTTGACGTCTGCAATTAAAACAGTGAATTAATGTATTTCTTGCAGCTCTATCGGTTTTCTTCGTGTTCTGAAGCTTTGTTCTTCAGTGCATGCACATTGAGGATCACACATCTTCTTGGAGAACTGGGCCCCTTATCACAACTGGGCCCTGATAATTTCCTTTGCTTCAGAAGTTAAATGTCTGAACTAATATAGTTACTCTAGCTTTCTCTTTCTTCAAGGTTAGCAGGGCATATCTTTCTCTGTACCATTACTTTTAATCTTTATGTCTTTATTAAGTGTTTTTCTTGTAGACAGGTAATTGGGTTATGTTTTTTGACCCATTCTGACAATCTGTCATTCTAACTGGTGCGTTCAGACCATTGACMTTTTTTTTAATATTTATTTATTTATTTTTTTAGTTTTCGGCGGACACAACATCTTTGTTTGTATGTGGTGCTGAGGCTCGAACCTGGGCCGCACGCATGCCAGGCGAGCGCGCTACCGCTTGAGCCACATCCCCAGCCCTCAGACCACTGACATTTGAAGTGATCACTGACGTAGTTTGATCACAATCTCTAAGATTTGCTCTGTTTCTATTCATCACCCTTGTTCTTTGTTCCAATTTTCTACTTTTTTCTTTTTATGGTTTTAATTGTGCATTTTCAATGACTCCTTTCTTTCTTCTTAACATATCAATTGTACTTTTAAACAACTTTTTAAAGGTAGTTGCCCTAGAGCTTGCAATACCCATTTACAACAAACCCAAGTCCACTTCAGAGAGCACACTGTTCCACTTTATAGGTGTGCAAGTGCCTTCTGATACAGTGTTTCTGATTCTTCTCTTGTTTTTCATGAACTCTCACCACGGGAAGCCCTGCTGCTGTCATACTGAACAGGCTGTTACCTGTCAGTTAAAAATGAGAGAAGGACGGTCCGGCTACCTTGGCGTGCTCTACTCTCATGCCCTTTATGAACTGGAGCTTCTGGCTACATCATCTTCCTTCTTTCTCAGGATCTTATTCTAACATGTCTGGAAAGGCAGTTCAACTGGTAGCAATCTTCCTCAGTTTGTTTTTCTAACAAAGTTTTTATTTTTAATTCTTAAAGGGTGCTTCTGCAAGACACAGGAGCCTGGGCTGGGGGTCTGTCTTTCTCTCCTAGTACAGTATTTCATCACTTCATCTYTTCCTGCTCAGTTCCTGAGAAGTTAGATGTGATTCGAGCCTTTCCCCCTTGTTAGGCAAGGTTTGCCTCTGCTCATTTCAAGGTTTTCTTTAGCTCTGACCTTCTGTGTGACATGTGTGTGTGACATGCGGAGGTATAGACTGTGTGGGGGTATTGTTTGTTTTGTTTGGGTATTTATCCTGTAGGTGTTCTCTGAGCTTCCTGGTCTGACACTAACTTGGGGAAAACTCTCAGCCATTATTGCTTCAAGTATTCCTTCTGCTTTCTCTTCCTCCTCCTGGTTTCCCCATCATGCCCAAGTCTGCTTTCTGCCATGCCCTGGTTCCTGGGTTTCCCTCCCTTCCTCCCGCTTGGCATTTCAGTTTTGCAAGTTTCCATTCACAGAGCCTCGAGCTCAGAAACTCCTTCCTTGGCTGCGCCCAGTCTACTAAGGAACCTACTGTCAAAGGCATTCTTCATTGCTTCTACAGTATTTTAAAATTTCTATAACGTCTTTCTTAGAATTTCCATTTCTTTGCTTATATCACCCATTTTTTCTGGCATGTTGTTTACTTTTCCCATTAGAGCCTTTAGCATATTAATCAGAGTTGCTTTTTAACTCCTGACCTGATAATTCCAACATCTCTACCATGTTTGTATCTGGTTCTGATGCTTGCTCTGTCTCTTCAAACTGTGTTTCCTGCTGTTCAGCGTGCCCTGTGACTTTCTATGGAAATCCTGAAATATTTATTTCACTATAAAATATTCTAAGTAGAAACTAAATTTTCCTAGCAGATGTTAGCACCGTTTAGTTTGGTGAGTATTCTCCGGCATTCTTTTCTATGCATATGGGAACATATGCGTGCAGGTATACTTTTATTAAAAAATACTTTTTATCCTCTATAGCTGTGTGAGGGACACCTCTGGTGGAGCTCAGGGTTTAGTACCTTTTCACCGACACACAGTGCTCCTTTAGGGGATTTCCTAAATTTACCTAATCAATTCCCTACTGAAAGGTATCCGTTATTTCAAGAATACAATTTTGTTATTACAAACATCACAGTGAATATCCTTTTACATGTAACTTTGTTTTTTACGTATTTTACTAGAATAAGTTTATATAGGCAGCATTTATGATTCTATGATTTAAACTTTTAAATTTGTAATACATATCACCTAACTACTCTCTACAACTGTTGTTCTGTTTACATCCCAACAGCATTTGGAGAGTGCTTATGTCTCCATACCACCTGAGTAGTTTTAAACCCTTATCAATCTGATAATACACAAGGAGTGCCTTATTCTAGTTTGGATTTTTTATTACTTGCAAGGCTGAATATTTTTCATGTTTATTAGCTATTGGGTCTCTTCTCTGGGAACTGCATTATTTTGAACATTTATGTAGGGAGATTTGTTTTTTAAAATGTAGAGAATGATAATCTTAAACTATGGAAATCCTTAACCCTAGGTATTACTATCAAAATTATTTGGTCCAGAAGGAACATTCTATTTTACTTCATATTCACCTGGTGAACACATCATTTGCTTAGAATCTAATTCGACAAGGTTCGTGTCCGTTGGAGAGAGAAGGCTGGTGAGTGTGCACCTCTGGAGGCCTTGCTGACACCTTAGAGAAACCCGTGGAGGTCCCTCTGGTCTCTAGGAAGGCTTTCAAAAGGGAGCCCTGAAGCCGACTGAGGGGGGAAGGGAGAGCTGAGGGAAGGTGAACAGAACTGTGGTCCCTCAGACTTGACAGCAGGGGAAGGCTGAGGGGGAGTTAGTAATGGATTCCAATAAATGAAACTTGTGCAGGAGGATGGTGGGTGGCTCTTCTCTAAATGTGTGGAGGACAGATGAAGAGAATTTGTACTTTAGTATAAAAAATTCTGTTATACATAAAGAAAAGTTTCCTGAGAGCAGCCATCAGAACTTCTCAGCACCTCATAGTAAATCTGATTTGCAGGAAGCTATAAATACACCCTCAGGTCATTAGGCTGGCACTTACTGCATCATTGTTAAAAAAGGCAACTGAGTAGAACAGGGACAAAAGGGAGACCAGGCACTAAGCGGCACCCCACTCCCCCACTCATCAAGAAGGGAAGGGAGGTGGAAGGAGGGAGCGAGGACGCAGGAAGCCCTGAGCTGTCTTCAATGCCGGTTCCTCCTCTTCACTGTTTAAGCAGCGCATCCACTTGGATATTCGAGTTGGAGAACATGACCTTGATGCTGCAATTGCTCAGGCAAAGGACAAAGTTAATGAAGTTACCTTCAAGCTTGAACATCTAATGGAACAAATTGAGCAAATACTCAAAGAACAGAACTATCAAAGGGTCAGTCTGCCTTCTCAGCTTATTTGATCTCTTCCTGCCGGGAATGCATTTCTCAACACAAAGCCCCTGGACCAGGGAAAGAAGGAACTGCCAGTTGTTTCCTGGTGTCCTGAGTAGAACCACGTGGGCAGGCAGTGCAGAGAGAGGTGTTGGCTGGACTCTGCTGGGAAAGGCACTGCTCTCTTCCTATCCCTGTACCAGCAAAGCACCCGCAGCAGAAGGTGGGAACTTACAGAGGGAATGAACGATGCTCCCAACACACTCCATATGTCTGTAGGGCCAAGTGGGCCCACTTTCTAGATCAGTCTGTCATTCGACCCTGCTTCCTGAGTCACTGGGTTCAGAGGGCTCAAATCTGCTCTACCACTCACCAGCTTGTGTCCTCACTAAGCTTGGGTGTCATGATCTGGAAAATAAGGACTAGAGTGAACTTAAGTAAGGCAAGCATGTGGCACAAAGGAAGAACTCCAACAGGGGAATCACCCCAATTGGGTATGCAGTGTTTGCTCTGCTTGATGGTAGCAAATAAAATGTATGAAGTCGTAGATAAAATTCCTGTATTTCACACCAAAATGCAGTGTTTTMTAAGGTTGATTTTTACTCTTTTATACTCAGTTAAACAACAGATTCAAGCTTAGGAAATCACAGTACACCTTAGCATAATATATTAACTGGGTAATATCAAATATCTTGAACACATACAGCAACTTTTCCCTCCAAATCACACATTAAGTTTTTTAAGAAACTAAATCCATCCATCTCTCTTCTGCATAGGACCGTGAAGAAATTTTTCGAATGACCAGTGAAGATACAAACAGCAATGTTTTATGGTGGGCTTTTGCACAAACGTTGATCTTCATCTCAGTTGGAGTTTTCCAAATGAAGTATCTTAAAGACTTTTTTATAGCTAAGAAGCTTGTTTAAAACATTACAGGTAGAGGCAAATAATCTGCACAATGTTTGAATGAATAAACCAAATACATGCATAAATGTGTATAACTTTTTTTTTTTATGGTGCTGGGGTTTGAATGGGGATTGGACCCAGGGCTTTGTGCATGTGAGGCAAACACTCTACCCACTGAGATAATGTGTATTACTTATGATTTCAAAGATACCAGTGGTTGAAATTAATGTTATAGATTGCAACATTGATAAAATATTACCTTAACAATGTAGCTTCTGAATTTCATAAAGTAAGCACATTATCTTATTTTTTTAAACTTGGTTTAAATCAGCACTGTCTAGTAGGATTACAATGTGAGCTACATATGTGACTTTAAGTTTTCTGGTCACCACAATAAAAAGGGTGTTTAAGAAAAGTAACATCAACTCTAGTGACATATATTTAACCCAATATATAAAAAATATTACCATTTTAAAACGTACTCAACATAGTTACTAATGAGATATTTTATCTTCTTTCAACCATACAACCAGGTTATAGGCTGCACTCTTAGTATCACTGATTTGGACCAGCCACCTTCCAAGCACTTAGTGGTCACTTGAGGATAACAGCTACAGCACGACTGAGAGCAAATACACCCTGTCCCCAGGCCACATCCAAGAAATAGTCACCCTTCCCTTCCATTCTGCTAGTTCCTAACTCCCTGAGAGGCACCTTCCCCACACAAACAAGGCAATTTTCCTGAGCCATGTTTTCTCACTAGGTCTCCACCAGTTCTTACAAACAGCACAAAGCCAAGGCAGGTCCAGCATTAGTCAAGGAATGGACCTCTTATTTTAAAAGTAATGTTTGGGGGCTGGGCCTGCAGCTCAGTGCTGGCTTAGCATGTCTGAGACTGAGAATGGGATATGGGTTCAATTCTCAGCACTGCATACATAGTTAAAAAAAAAAAAGTCTATCAACAACTCAAAAAAWTTTTTAAAAAATTACTTTTGTGGGGCAGGGGTTGTGGCTCAGGGGTAGAGGGCTAACCTAGCACATGCAAGGCCCTGGGTTCTATCCTCAGCACCACATAAAATAAATATATAAAATAAAGATATTGTGGGACTTGGGTTGTAGTTCAGTGGTAGATCACTTGCCTTGCATGCATGAGGCACTGGGTTCAAATCTCAGCACCACATAAAAATAAATAAGCAAATATATTGTGTCCATCTACAACTAAAAAATAAAAAAAAAAGATATTTTGTCCAAATACAACTAAAAATATTTAAAATAAATAACTTTTTTGTGTTTTTAACTTTTAATTTTGAAATAATTAATAATCTCATTAGAAATTGCAAATACAGTTGAGTTCCTTCCCCCAACTACTATTTTAAAAGGGAAACAATCTTCTCAAGCCCCTTCATATGCATATGCTGGAGGCAAGCTGAGTTTCTGCCCCATCCCAAACTGCTTCTGTCCCATAGCCCAGACAGTGGGCCTGTCACTCCCAGATCCTGGTTCACTCAGTCCTCCTAAGACCAGACCTCCTGGTCCCCTGGCCTGACTCACTTTCCTTCCTCTTTGTCCTGGTAATCTCCAGGTCTCCCACCATTTCAAGGCTAGGACCCTGTAGCTCCCTCAGTCTCTGTGGTCCCCTAATCTCCTGCCCCTTCCCATTAGGATGGGTGTGGGAACAGGTACATGGAGAACTGCAAACATGGCATACCTTAAGGGCATCTGAGTGGCAGGCCATTCCCCTTGAGCTAGGAACGTGAGACCCAGGCTGGTTACCCCATAGGGATAGCCCTGCGAGTGAGGCCATGTGTTGCAGTCCCTGCACTTGCTCCATGGCCCACTCCTTGATTGGTTGCTGCAAAGACAGTTAGCAAAAATTGCACTGGTGGCTGCTTGTAATCTGCTTAGCTACTGCCTGAGTATATACACAGGTGCAATAAAATCAGATCTGCTTCYTGCTTGGTCTCCGGAGGTCTTGAATAGACACTCCGCAGCCACACTCTCCTCTACCCTGTTCCCATGGACCTCCTCACTGGGCGAGAGAGCCTCTATCCAGATGGGTATAGCTAATTCTGGCCCCTGATCAGCCTGGTATCCACCCCTCATGCACCACCCTCAATGGGATACAGAGCCCCCCCCCAACTTGGCCATCCACTCTTCCTCATCCACTCTCTCACTGTGGGTATGGAGGGCTGGCCCACTGTGCCACCGCCATGACCATCCACCCCAGGTCCCAGTGGGCATGGAGCTCACGAGTGCTCTGCCTTCTGGCCAGTCTCTGTGGTTGTCACCTTGTCCACTTGTTCCCAGTGGGCATGGAGACAAGGCTATACCACCCTCTGCCCCATCTTCTGGCCATCCACCTATGGCTATCCTCCAGTCATGGTGGCCATGGAGACAGGCCCCTTGATGCTTACCCAGCAATGGGACAGGCTGATGGCCAAAAACCGAGCACCCAGGCCCCGTTGGCGCACACTGGTGGCCACCCCAGGAGGACGCAGGGCTGCAGGGGGCACGCTCCACCGCAGGGGCTCATTCTGAAACCGAGGGGTTTCCAGGAAAGCGAGACGCACATGTCCCCTCCCAGCCTAAGCCACCTGTCCTTGGCTGCCCGGAAGAGCCCCAGCACCCACCGAGGGAAGAAACCCGACCGCGGATGGGCGCGGGCCGCGCAGGCGCTGGGTAGTAGACCCAGGACTTGGGCCTGCGGCCCTCTCCGAGCCTGCGCGGCGGGCAGGGAGCCCCAGCTTTGGGACAGGGGGCCCTGTACTAGCAGATCAATAAAACGCTTTCTTTCCTCCTCGAAACCCTTGCTCCTGGGCCAGGGCTCAGTGGYAGAGCACTCGCCGGCACGAGCGAGGCCCGATTAGAGCCTCAGCGCTGCACAAAATAAACAAGTAAAGCCATGCTGTCCATCTACAACTACAAAACAATAACCAAGAAACAAAGCAAAAACTTTCCTCCTCATTGGCTTGGCAAAGGAGGCGAGGATCGAAACAGTGAAGAGGGCCGCAGCGTGGGTTTTGGCGGGACGCGCTTGGTGCGCAGGCGCAAGGGCGTGTGTGTGCGCAGGCGCAGAGCTACCTGCCTCCCCACCCACACAGTAGGTACACCCTAGCGTGGCTTTGGGGTTTTGGCGGGACGCGCTTGGTGCGCAGGCGCAAGGGCGTGTGTGTGCGCAGGCGCAGAGCTACCTGCCTCCCCACCCACACKGTAGGTACACCCTAGCGTGGCTTTGGGGTTTTGGCGGGACGCGCTTGGTGCGCAGGCACAAGGGCGTGTGTGTGCGCAGGCGCAGAGCTACCTGCCTCCCCACCCACACTGTAGGTACACCCTAGCGTGGCTTTGGGGTTTTGGCGGGACGCGCTTGGTGCGCAGGCGCAAGGGCGTGTGTGTGCGCAGGCGCAGAGCTACCTGCCTCCCCACCCACACTGTAGGTACACCCTAGCGTGGCTTTGGGGTTTTGGCGGGACGCGCTTGGTGCGCAGGCGCAAGGGCGTGTGTGCGCAGGCGCAGAGCTGCCTGCCGGCCTGGAAGCATATCCCAGCCTTGAGGACCTCGTGCTGTTCTGGGCCTCGCCACCAGCTGTGCAGTTGCAACAGCATGGCCAGCTGGGTGTTCTGTAATTACTGCTTCCAGTCGCCTAGAAGGACATCGTCCTTCAGCCTGACCAGCTGTGGGCACGTGTACTGTGACGCCTGCCTCGGCAAAGGTCTCGGTGGGGCCGGGCGTGCCTGAGGGGCAGGGCGGGGGAGTGTGGGGCCGGGGTCCSCAGGAGCAGAAGTCCCTGAGGGACTGGATGGAGTGAGGAGTATGGGGTGGAGGTTCCAAGGGCAGAGCCTGGAGTATGGGAACTACAAAGCCCCCGCGGAAGGAGGAAACCCCACAGCGGACGGGAACTCCTGGTTTGGAGCAGGCTAGATGGTCACACAACCAGGGACGAGCTAAATTCTTTCTGAGAATGTTTTTTTGATGAGGTAGAGTTTATACAAGGAAAAAGAGCAATTGTGAAAATTCACAAAGCAGCACAACCTGAGAAATGGGGTCATGGTCAAGGATATAGTCCAGCACCAATCCTGGAAGGTCCTTGGGCACTGCTGCCCTGACTCCCTCCGTGGATGACCGTAGGATGGAATACCACCAGTGGGATCATACAGCGTGCATGCTTTCCTTGCAAGATTCCTCTCAGTTTGCGTGTTGTGGTTCATCTGCTGTCCTTGCTGTATGGTACACCACACCTTACTCATCGGATGGACTGATGGGCATGTAGGTTGCCTCCAGATTTGTCTAGCAGATGGTACTACTGTGAACACTCTTGCTTGTGTCTGATTTCTGTTGGGTGTAGGTAGGACCAGGAGTAGAGTTGCTGAATTTCAGGTATGTATTTAAATCCAAAGTTTCTGTGGCAGCTTGGGGAAAAGTATTTTGGAGTGAGAAAATTTTCAGGAAAAACTGTACAATGGAACATGTGAGAGTGATTGAGGATAGGATGGGACTGTGAGATGGAGAGAAGTGATGGGTTTGGAAGAGATTAAGTGGATTTTCAGCAGACTTGAGTTAAGCAAGGCAAGGAACTAAGCAGGGGCTTCCCTGCTGAACTCTGGAGAAGGGACCAGCTGGGTGGAATGAGGCTCACAACTTCATATGTGAACACTATCCTGTGAGTGCTGTCTTGGGAGGAGATGGAGGCAATTGTATATGTGGATCTGGAATTAGACCGCTTGGAGCATATTCTGGGAACTGTGTTGGTTAGCTTTCCTTTGTTGCGATCCTGAGTAAAACAAAAAGAGGAGATTTCAGTCTATGGTCACCTGATTCTTTTGTTTCTGAGTCTGTGGTAAGACAACATCATGGTGAAGAGCACATGGTACAGAAAAGAAGCTCACTCTTGGTTTTAGGAAACAGACTGGAGACAAGATATACCCTTCAAGGGCATGCTCCCAGTTACCTACTTCCTCCACCTAAGGCCCAAGTCCTAAAGTTTTCACCACCTCCCAAACCTTCAACACATGAGCCTTTGGGGAATATTCCAGGTCCAACTCTAACATTTTGCTTCTAGCCCCCAAAGGCTCATGTCCTCCTCACAATACAAAATGMATTCAGTCCATCTCCAAGAATTCCCATAGTCAACAGTTCCATCATTACTCCAAAATCGAGTCCAGAGTCTCCTCTGAGACTCTTAGCTATAAGCCCTGTGAAAATCAAAAGCATTATTCCAACAAGCAATGACACAGGATAATCATTCCCATTCCAAAAGAAAGGAATAGGAGAATGCCAAGGAAGGATCAGAACAAAACAAGACCAAAACATAACAGGGCAAACATTAAATCCAGTAGCTCCATGTCCAGCATATGTCCGTGTGGTAATGGGATGTGGGCCCCAAAGGTGTTGGGCAGCCCTGCCCCTGTGGCCTTGCTAGCTGCATCCATCCTAAGTGGCCATTCTTTTGCACTGGCTCTGCTCCTTGTCTGTGACTTTGCTCTGGAGATGGTCTATTTCTGGAATCTCTGGGATCTCCATAGCATCTTTAGCTTTATTCTTAAAGCTCCACATACTACCTTTTCTGAGACTGCCTTCAGGCATTGTAAGCCTGCCTCACTGCCTAAAACCTGAGTAGAAACTTTTGCAACCCCACAACTCCTACATTCTGCATGCCTGCAAAACCAGCAACTCGTGAACAATGGCAGGGTCTGTTTGAACAGCAGCTGGGCCCCCTCAGACTGTGGCTGCAGCGGCCTTTGAGTGCTTGAATGGTTGAACACAGTGAAACAAATCCTAGGGAAACAACTTCCTACCTGGCCCACGGGAGCAGGGCATTCAGGCACTCACCAAAAAAAAAAAAAAAAAGTCTTTCAAACAAGTTTTATTCTTCTCATACCTTTCCACTCAGCTTTTTGCTTCCAATTCTTACTATAAATTTGACTAAAAGAAGCCAGCAATGCCCATTCCACAGCCTGAATGCTGCCTTGAAATTTCTTCCACCAGATTAATTAGTCCATCACCTTTAAACTCAGCTTCACACACAATCTCATGCCATGAACAAAATGTAGACAAGTTCTTTGCCAGAATGCATGGGTGGCCTCTAGTTCAGTTCCAGTAGAATCCTCATTTCCAGCCCAAACTTCATGAGCATAGTCTTTACTATCTATTCCTATCAGCATTCTGGTCTTCTGAGATCCTACTAGTTGCCCATTAAGTTGTGGTTATGGCGTTCTAAGTTTTTTCTAGCCTGCATTTTCAGACTTTTCTGAATCTCCTCACAAACCACCTCCAAAGACTTCTGTACAGTCACAGCAACAACCCTACTTCTTGGTACCAGTTTTCTGTGTTAGCTTTCCATTGCTGTGACAATATGCCAGACATACTTGAAAGGATAAAATGTTAATTTTGACTAATGGTTTTAGAGGTTTCAGTTCATGATCATCTGTCTCCCATTGTATCTGGGCCTATGGTAAAGCAGAACATCATGTCAGGGAGCACTTGGAAGCAAAAGGTGGCCCACCTCATGGCAGATGGGAAGCTGGGGGCTGGGGAAATGATATACCCTTCACAAACACACCCTCAGCTGCCTGCTTCCTCCAAAGGTTGTGGGGGGGCATAGAAAGTAGAGGTGTCAATGAACTGGACTTCCCAGTGAAGACAAATATCAGTGTTTGGATGTATCTGATGAACTTGTGGCATCCATCATTGATGATCTAAGGTGACATTAAAATGACAAAGACACTTGCCTTTGTGGTGTTGGGAGGTACAGAGACAGGGCTCAGTGTCAACTCTTAAGGCCACAGTACCCTGTTAGCAGTTGCTTGGTAGAGGTCCTAGGACATAGGGAAATTCCCAGGGACTTCTGGCTCTCAGAGCCTGAGGCTAAAGCAGGTTCCAGTTGGCTGAGATCATAGACACAGTGCTGGGGACACAACAAGTTCAGGGACACACAATAAAAGGTGAAAAGAGGTGGGAGTTCTGGGCAGAGCCATGCCGTGGCTATCCACTGCTCATAAGCCCTCTTTAAGCTCTTGGTGTACCTCCTCCCAGACTTTTTCCTATAGATGCAAAATTTTAAATAAAAAGTGATACATGTGTGTATGCCATTTAGTAATTTGCTTTCATTAATTACTAGGGCATCTTTCCCTTTAAAATAAGTTTGTATCATCATTTTTAAGGTTTTAAAAGATCTTTAGTCACTGTGCCCTGAGTTATTTGATTCTCTACTAGAAATTTAGATTTCCTGAAATGTTGTTGCTACACACTACTTGCTCAGCTTCTTGGTTTTTTCCTTTGAAATATATACATCCTAGTGGAATTTCCAGCCTTGGTATGTACACATTAAGGTAGACCAGCTGCCCTCCAGAGAAGGTGTATCCATTTAGATCCCCAGTAATGACATATGGGTGCCTGTCACATGTCATGACATGTCATGCTGGCTTTCGCAGTTCATTAGTGGCTTGGATTTTCTTTCTATGCACCTACTGGCTATTTGTACTTTTGCTGATTTCTCATCAGGGTCCTCTTCTTGGACTGGTTCTTTTTAGTTGCCTCAGAAGCCCTGTGTATCAGATATCAACCACTTTGTCTGAGCTGTGAATGATTTCCACTGTTGAGCCTCAGCCCTCCTCCCACTACAGAACACTTGGGTTTTTATGAGACAGCTCTGTAATCTTAATTGAGCAGCTTCCGGTTTGGGGGTTGCACAAGAGGAATTTCCTAACTCCAGAATCTGCAGAGAAAGAAAGTGGGGAGGGACATGCTGTTGAAGGTGGATGTTCTTAGGAGGGGGTGCCTTGAGTGTGAAAAGAGAGGGAAGGAGGCCATTCCTGAGGCTTTGGGAAGGGACCATTTAATGCACACCCTGCCCCCTTCAGTGCAGGGAACTGGGGCAGAGTGATGACCACACAGACTTGCAAGATGGAGAGGAAAGAGGCAGTGAGCTGGGAGTTTCTGCTGGTGAGTCCAGAGCAGAAGGCAGGGAAACAGTGGGTTGCAAGTGGGGTCTGCTTTTGCCCCTCATTGAACATCCCCACAGATGCTGTATAAAACCACAAGAAAAGCAGATGGGTTGCAGCACAGTGTGGCAGACCCAGGAGACTGGAGTCTGCAGATCTGTCCACCACCATTCCAGTGGAGTGCCCCATTCCCAGCTACACTGACCAGCTGGGCTCGTCCAGTTGGGTGGAGTGTGCTCCCTAGAAGGACAAGGCGCTTGTGAACTGGTGATGGCTGTCAGCCCCAGGCTCCATGCTGACCAGTGGAGAACTGAAACCAGAGGGTCTGAGGAGGTGGCCAGTGGGGTTTTCCACCATGCTTGGGAGGGGCTGACTTCTTAATGGTGCTGAGTGCTGTGGGGGTCCAAGGTGTGACCAGGCAACATGCTGACCTGGGCATGGGTCTCTCCATAGAGAGCCAGGGCTGAGGGCCAGCTACTGGAGCCCCACTTTCCAGAATGACAGTGAGTGTCACGGAGAGGAGGTGGTGAACCAGGGCTGAGTTGGAGCTGGAGCTGGAGCTGCAGCTGGGTGAGCTGGGTGAGCTGGGTGTGGGCAGGCGAGGCATGCTGACCTTTCCTCCTCAGGCCCTAGGACCGGCTCATGGCAGTGAGATGGTGCCCAGTGAGTGGGGACGTGGCCCTCCATGGGGTGGAGGCCTCGTGTGATGTCATGTGGGGAGGCCCAGTGGGGAAGAACAAAACTCATTTCATCTTTTGGGTGGGTTGTAGGAGCCATTTTCATTATAAATAGTTGGAATTTTAAATTAGGACATTACTGTATGATCYAGTTGCAAGGATCGACTGTGGTGGATTTAATTTAAGTGTTCTCTCTTAATGGGCTCTGTGTTGGCATATTTGCAAAGCAGGAAGAAAGGGATGGTTGTGTAAAGTGTTTAGCTGTCCACAGCCACCCTCACCCGAGTCTAGACTTGTGGTGCTGCAAGTCTCTTAAAGGAGCATTAGCATGTCCGCATTTGTATGTCTTTAGAAGCACTGCAATGTAATGCAATATAGTCTGTTTTATTTTATAGGTAAAAAGGATGAATGCTTGATTTGTAAAGTTCCTTGTCGTACAGTTTTGCTCTCAAAACATGTAAGTTGAAATCTGTGGAATTCAAGTATTAATCACAGTAGTACTTTTAATTTGAGATTTTTAGTCATGTGTGGTACTAAAATTTTCATTTGTTCTACTAATTTAACTGGATTTTCTATCTGGGTAATCAGAGTTCAGTTAGGATCCTGTTTCTAAAACCTCAGCACAGCTTCCTCTCTTGGGCCCAGGTCAGCCTTGTGCAGGGTTGTTGGATTGTGCTGTGCCCCTGGAAGTGGAAGTGGGTGGGAACGATGGCTCCAGCCCAGGCTGGCTCCCTGAGAGGGGAAGGCTGTCCCTGAGGTCCTGTAGGTGGAGGAGTCCAAACCCTGCTAGGGATGGCCTGAAATGATGCCTTTGGTCCTGTCTACAGAAGACACCAGTTTAACTTCTTTTTAGTTGTAGTTGGACACAATACCATCTTTATTTTATTTATTTATTTTTATRTGGTGCTGAGGATCAAACCCAGGGCCTCACACATGCTAGGCAAGGGCTCTACTGCTGAGCCACCACCCCCCGTTCCCCTCCTTTTCTTCCCCTTGTCTTGGAGCATATTCTCCCTGGGCATGGAAGGAGTGGGGCCCTGAGGCTCAGGGGTTGCCAGTTGGCTCTGACTTGAGTCCTTCCYACTGCCCTGCACAGTCCTAGAGGGGCAGCCATCTTCCTTGTGCACCTGGAGGTCAGGGCTGGTCATCTGTGGTTCATTCTAGAAGCAGTAAGCCTACAGTCATTTGCTTTCTCTTTCAGACCGACTCGGACATACAGGCTTTCTTCATGGGCATTGACGGACTCTGCAGGAAATACTCCCAGGAGACCGCCCAGGTGAGCCGTGGTGCTGCTCACCTCCAAGAGAGGGCCAGTCCCTGGTAGGGCAGCAGGTACTTACATCTGTGATGCCTTTCACCTTGTTGGAGGTGCAGCCTTTCCAGCACAAAACTTCAGATTTTGACACAGTGTTTGATCCATTTTGCTGCTGTTTGTGTTTGGGTGGCACATTGGGACTCCCCACCTCTGTTGTGTCCTGAGAAGCTCCTGGGCTGGGTTCTCTGGATTCAGGCAGTAGGTTTCTTCTTGAAACTGTCCTTTGCTCATGCTCACCCAGGACCCACGACCCCACTTTGTCTGAGTCTTGGTGGCATTTGGCTCCAGGGCCCTTCCCTTCCAGACACCTTCTCTGGCTCCTCTGAGGAGTGCCTCCCGGGAGCTCCTCCACCTGTTTATTCCAGACCCTCCTCCCACCAACACACACTGTGCTTCAGTCCATGCCCTCCTACCTCAGTATGGACTAATGTGTGTCATTGTCCTCTGTGCCAGCCCTGGATGTCACTGAACAGCTTGCAGTCTTCTGTCTGCAGGGGAACTATCCAGGAAGGAGGGTCATCCTCTGCCCCAGCTCATCCCTCCTGCACCCATTCTGTTAAAGATACGGTGCACACCGACATTGTCTACCCCACCTGGGGCCAGGTTGAGTGGAGGACAGCCAGGAACTGCCTCCAGCAGTGCAGGAGGCCAAGGGAGAGCAGGCGACCACCTCAGTAGACCCCAGCAGTGTCCTCCTTGGCTGTTAGCCCTGTGTTCAGGCTGTGGCCAGCCAGGCCTCCACACTACTTCTCCCTCTCCAGGAACCCATTCCAAAGTGATGCCTGAACTTCCCACAGGACAGAGCTGTCCCAATGCGACTCCCCTCTCAAATTGTGCCAAAGTAATGTCCTCCAGGGAGGGACACACAAAAGCTGAGTCACAGGTAGACAGGCCCCAGAACGCAAGGTGAGCGTGACCTGGACACCTAGAGCAGGACACTCCTGCCCACCTGTTCCGCTCCATCCTGCAGGCCCCACACTCAGGCGAGTCCCTGCAGGCCAGAAGTTATGTGAGTCGGTGAAATAGGAGGTCCTCACGACTCAGGACCACAGGCAGTATGGTTCCTGGGCACTTCCCCGAGCAGCCTCCACAGGGGCCAGTGCCTCTCAGGAGAGAAGACAGTGGACCAGAGCTGCCTGGGATGCCCACCTGGCTCCTCTCTGCCCTGTGCCTCATGGGCTTCAGGCCAGCCATGGAGGCCTGCGGCTCCAGCCTGGGTGGCAGAGGCTGGCCTGGTGACCTCGCCCCACCTCTGAGTGGCTGCCTCATAGCTGAGTTGTGGCTGTGCTGACCTCTGCACTCACATTTCTTGTAAGCGTAGGGGGGAGTTCTCCAGAGACCGATGGTTCTGTGGTTATTTACATGACGTAACAGGCTTATTGCTTCCAAACAGTACTCCTAGATTTCTGTCAGCCTCCATTTCTAGTAGGGTGAATATTGACAGGTAAACCCTCACAAAGCTCTCTGGGTCCTCAGCAACTTTAGACTGCTAAGCTGGCTGGAGACCAAACCGAGCGCCACCGCTGAGGTCCTGGGACCTGCACCAGGACAGCATCAAGGGATCACCTGGGCCAGGACCCTCCAAAGGCCCCTGGGCCCCCTGCCTTCCCAACCTCCTCCTCCCGTGGCGGCCTCTGTCTGAGGAGGGCTTGCCAGCTCTGGGTCTGCAGCCCAGGCACACGTGCCTCTTGCTGGACAGCAAGCCAGTCAGCCCGGGCATGTGTTGACCCAGCAGCCACTGCTCTCGACCCAGAAACACCCAGCACCCGTGCCCAGAACCTGGAGGTGCCTCTGGGGATGCTGCTCTTCCTGCGGCCTGTTCTGCCTCATGGCTTTCGGTCTCCTGCAGTCTCGCCAGGCTGTGTGCTGTCGTGTGAAGATGTGTGAGCCCTGGGCAGCGCTCTGAGCAGGCTGGTCCAGTGTGGCGCCTCCTCAGCCCTGGGGTTGACCCAGTCCCATCCAACCCAGAAGGCATATTCTCTTCAAAATGAGACTCTCAGTTTCTTTCTTTTTTTTTAATATTTATTTATTTATTTTTCAGTTTTCGGCGGACACAACATCTTTGTTTGTATGTGGTGCTGAGGATCAAACCCGGGCCACACACATGCCAGGCGAGCACGCTACCACTTGAGCCACATCCCCAGCCCCTTTCTTATTTTTTTTTAATATTTATTTATTTATTTTTCAGTTTTCGGCGGACACAACATCTTTGTTTGTATGTGGTGCTGAGGATCAAACCCGGGCCACACACATGCCAGGCGAGCACGCTACCACTTGAGCCACATCCCCAGCCCCTTTCTTATTTTTTTTTAATATTTATTTTTTAGTTGTAGTTGGACACAGTATCTTTATTTTTATTTATTTTTATGTGGTGCTGAGGATTGAACCCAGGGCCTCGCACTTGCCAGGTGAGCGCTCTACCGCTGAGTCACAGCCCAGCCCTCAGTTTCTTTCTTAGCATCTCTAGTTTCTGGGGCTCAATATCCTTCCACGGTCAGGACTACAGAAACCCTGGGGACGATGTGAGATTGCAGGCCTGGGTGAGGCCTCAGAGGGATACAGATGGTGGCCTGGATGCCTGGGGTCCAGTCTGCCCCATCTGCTCTAGAGACTCCCTGGACTCCACAGCACAGGGCAGTCCCTTTACAGCTCACCAGCCTCTCTGAGGCCTGTGCTTGTCTCCTCCCTTCAATGAGCTTTCTGGGACCCAGGGTCGCCCTCCCTGTGGTCCTGTCGCCACACCAGCATGTGCCTTACACAGGGAAGGTCAGCCACTGAGGCCTTGCCCTCCCCAAGTCCTTTCCTGGAAACAACCATGACAAAGCAGGAGCAGCATTCCTCTGCCCCAGTGCCCGCTGCCCCAAGCCCACACACTTGGTCCCTAAGGGTTCCCCAAAGCTAACAGCACTATGTGGTTTAGGTCATCACATGAAGCTCCCATCCTGTGCAGGCRCAGGACCTGTTGTGGATGGATGGGAGACAGGCAGCTGTGTGTGGTCCTCAGTCTGCTGCCAGGACTTCCCAACTCCACCTGGCCCCAGTCAGGAATAGAACCTGGAGGGCTCTGTCTGGCCTTCCCTGAACAAGTCTGAGGCAGAGAAGACAGGAAAAGCAAATCCCCTGTGGTCAAGTCTTGCCAGTGTGGACGTGACACCAGTAGGCCCTCCACAGTCAGGCAGGTGTGTCTGCCACGGACCCCCCCCCCCGCCCCATGAGCCTGGGCAGCCAGAGGAGCGGGGCCCACCCTGCAGGGTTGGAGTGGCTTCGTGAGACAAGCTGCAGGAGCTGGGCTGTGAGGAGTGAGTTTGATACAGGTAGGCACCTCCACCAGAGAACTGGAGACCTCCCAGCGCGCTCACGGATGGCCCTCAGGGTCATGGCCTGCGGCATCATGAGGATTCCTCACCACCCTTGGTGGGCAGCACCTGGTCGTCTTCTGCCGTTGGTCTTCTAGAGCCATGGGCTCTCTTAAATCCTGAGTCCTAAGCTCAGAGGCTTTGAGGAGGATGCTGACCCCACTGACCTGGAGGTGGCTCCCAGCACAGCTTGTCCCTAGGACGCAGGCGCAGTGTCAGGGCAGTATCTGTTCACAGCAGAGTTGGCTCCCTGTTTGTACCAAATTAAGGATCATGGGAGATGCAGAGCACTCCAGTGTATCTGTTGTCACCAGCAGATGGTCGAGGTTGGTGACATGAGAGATTTATAGGAAACCGACTTGACCCCACTTCAGCCCCRAGGCAGCCATGGTCCCTGGGGAGGTGCGCCAAATGGTGGTAGAACTTAGGCACATGGTGGCGGGTGCATGTGTCAGGTGTGACCCGTGGTCTGAAGCCTTGCTTGCAGGTCACAGCTTCACTCCTCAGTGTCACAGAGCACTGTTCAGCTCCCACATGGGAGCTCGGAAGCCTGTGAAGCAGCAGTGTTGGCTCCAGTCGGAGCTGGCTCCAGTCCAGACAGCCACAGGCTCCATGCTCACAGCCTGCCAGGCTCCCTGGGCTTCTGCTCCTGCTCTTCTACCCACCCACCCCACTCCACRCACCAAGTTCAGGTTGTCCTCTGGCTATGCTGGTTGGCCAGGAGGCCATCCCTCCAGCTAGTCCCCTTGTCAGAGTGACGACGTGCTGAGGTCCAGTCAGCGGGGTCTTGTGCCTTTCCACATCAGGGCGACAGGAACATCACCAGGGAGACACAGCCCTTGGCAGGGAACAGGCTCATCTGTGTTTGCATTTGGCCTCCTGCTGGCCTTCCCTATGGAGGGACATCTGTGCCAAGCATCCATTCTGGACAGCAGCTGGCCATGGGCAGCCGGCAGGAGCCTCCCTACCAAATGGAACCTGCCTGTGGGTACAGAAGGGGGTCTACTGGGGAAGGGCAAGACAGAGTGTTGGTCCCCACACTAACAGTCCTTTGYAGCCGTGTGTTTCCTCAGGAAGTGTAGGGTGAGCCTGAGCAGCACCTACAGTGAGCTTGTTGTCTCCTCAGGTTTCAGAATTTCAAGAAAAACACAGGAAGAGATTGTTAGCCTTCTATAGAGCAAAGGTAAATCAAATGACCTGTTGCCACTGGAGCACCTTTAATGTTCGATTCAAATTTCATTTTGTTTTCTAGGACCGTGAAGATGAGCTATCAGGCAACGTAATATTGTCTCTATCTCCTCCTGATCATCACCACCTGCACAGACATGACCAAGGGACTTACCTTCTCAGTCCTCTTGCACACCTAGAGGACAGGTGCTGTCAGCTACCTGCACAGACATAACCAGGGGACTTACCTTCTCAGTCCTCACACACCTAGAGGACAGGTGCTGTCAGCCACCTGCACAGACATGACCAGGGGACTTACCTTCTCAGTCCTCTCACACTCCTAGAGGACAGGTGCTGTCAGCCACCTGCACAGACATGACCAGGGGACTTACCTTCTCAGTCCTCGCACACACCTAGAGGACAGGTGCTGTCAGCCACCTACACAAACATGACCAAGGGACTTACCTTCTCAGTCCTCTCACACTCCTAGAGGACAGGTGCTGTCAGCCACCTGCACAGACTTGACCAAGGGACCTGATCATTAAGTCTCTTTCTGTAGTTTGGCAAGTGACAGGTCCAGATCTTGACATTTTGCTTTCCGAGCCATTTAATAACCTGTGTGTAGAAGGTACACCTAACGTGGGCTGAGTCCCCAGGAGGAACTCCACAGTGGGGGTGCTCCTGGTCTCTGCCCACTCCCTCAGCACTAGTGGTGTCCAGGGCTTTGCTGAGTCTGTAGCCTGTGCCTGGCTCAGCTGTGCTGGTGACCCAAGTCTTGCTAGCTAATGTGGATGGTGTCATGCTTACTTAAGCAGCCGCCAGATGGGTTCTTCTCAGGGTTGCTGGCACGTCTGGCTGAGAACAGAAGTCCTCTCATTGTGTCTAGATCTCTCAGTTGGAAGAGTGCCTCAGGAAGTCGGCACTGCAGGTGGAGCAGCTGCAAAGGTAAGGCCCTCCCTAGGAGCAGTGGGCAGCCAGCCGCCTCTGACCTCTGAGACCGAGAAAGAGGGAGCCAAGGAGAGAGCATTTCATTTACTAGAAACTTCTGTCAAGGTAAAAGAAAATCCATGCAAAAGCTAGAGGAAAAATAGGGAGACAAAAAAGAAGAAAGTGGAATAAAAAGGAACAAAAAAAGCAGGCACCCAGCGATTCCTGAGGCAGCCGGTAGGGGCTTGCTCACTTAGCAGTTCAGGGAGTGCCTGGTGCATTCTTCAGTCCTGGGGTTCGGCAGTTCTCCTGTGAATCAGGCCTGTGCCCTGAGCTTTGCTTCAGGGCGGCCCAGGGAATGAGCTTACATGTCTGGCAGGGGTTGGGCACAGATGCCTGGGAGGCCACCCTTGAGCAGAAGCTGTGTCACTGTTGTTGCACAATTGCCTGTCCTGGCTCATTCGGCCCAAACAGAACTTGTGGGCACAGGCAGTCCAGAACATTGAGTGGGGTGCCTAGGCCATGGTGCTTCTTGTCTGCGCTGGGTGTACCTCCTCTGTCTGTGGAAACCCGTGCTCAGGACATCTGCCAAGGTCAGGGGGCAGACAGGCCAGCCTAGGGTGCACATCACACACATGTCCAGTACATCCGCCAGGCTCAGGGGGGCAGACAGGCCAGCCTGGGGTACACAGCCTGCCTGGGTAGAAAGTGTAGCACACAGTGGGCCTGAACTGGAGGGCCAGGTGTTGGGCCTCAGGCAGTGCCTGTCAGAAATCCAGGGCTTGGCTGGACCAGAAAAAGCAACCCATTAACTTTCCCACATTTCTCTACTAGCCTCTGAAGCCTGGTGTGTTCATGGCTCCTGCCGTCTGTCATGATCATGATTGGCACCTACCTTCCAGTGGCTGTTTGTCACATAGTTGCAGCAGGAGGAGTCTGTTACATGCATGGCTAGAGCTTGATTTCCTCCTGCTTCCAGGATAGGGGCAGCCGCACAGGCAGACCAGCAGTGTGTGGGAGCTGTTAGATTTGTCCAGAGCCCTTTTGCAAGCACCAAGTGCCGTTTCAAAGTCTTCTCACACTYTTAGCTGGGTTGAATTAGTAGGAGTGCATTTTTGTCATTTAATTCAGTACCTTTTCTCCATCTGTTCAGTATGAGATCGTCACAGCACACGGCTTTCAGCACAATAAAGAATTCCATTTCAAGTGAGTAACATAACGCCGGAGGCAGTCAGAAAATGCATGCTGCCGACCACACTAACACGCACTAACCTGAGTGCGTTTGTCACCCCTCCAGCAAAGCCACGTGGATGCCAGCTGCTGCCACCTCACTCCTCAGCCCCTGACAGGTGTGTGGCTGTGGGGTAGTGTGAAAGCAGGCAGACTCTGGGCCCCCCTGGAAATGAAGGCGCTGACTATCCTCTGACCTTGATCAGGGTCCTTCCAGGAGAATTTGTTTACGCTGGCAGACACCTTTGTGACACTTGGCTGATCCATGCTCCATTTATGCCTGCCTGACCATTCATCTAGCACCAGGAATCAAACTGTGCTCCCCCTGGTGTCTTAGGGAAAACCTAGCCTGGGGCTGCCCCCCATTCTTCCATGGGTGCACTATCACAATAGGAGACAAGAACAAAGGTTTTACTTACAGATCCTGGGCAGGGAGGACACAGTAACTCAGGATGGCAGGCCTCCATCCTTGGGCTCCAGGAGGCAGAAGTGAAGGCACAGAGGGAGGCACCCATGGCCAGGCCTTTATGGGGGTCAGGGCACTGTCCAGACAGGTATCTTGTGGGAGTTATAGCTGGTGGGTCTAGAGCAAGCAGGCACAAGCTCCAGGAGGTCACACTGTGACTGAGAGGTGGTCACTGTGGCATATCCATGCAGTCTGTGGGGTGCAGAGTCAGCAGGCTGGTACCTCATAGTCCCATAGGAAGGTGTCACCACGAGCAAGTCATGCAGAGCAGGTATCTAGGACTAGCACCCTGGAGCTGGGGAAGGTGGAGAACTGTGAATTGTCCAGGAAGAGAGTTCTGCGTATGGTGTGGGAAAATTAAGCTTGTATTCAGAATACATGCCGGAGCAAAGTGAGGTTAGGAGAATTTCTACCCAGGCCGGACCAATGGGAGTCACCCCTGGATTCCCACTGAGGCTGTCAGAAAAGAGTTGGTCTTTTTGCTCTGGAGTCACTGGCTGCCAGATGGCCAGGCTAGGGGAGGGCCAGCCCCAAAACAAATCCAAGTCATGTTTCCTGTCCACCTTTCTCCTGGTRAAGGGTGAGCACATACTGGGCTCTAATGCTGGGAAGTGGGCCAGGCAGTAGGTGGTGGACCAGTCCTGCAGGTCCAGGAAGAGTTGGGAGAGCTAAGAGGTGGGCAGCCAGGAGCAGGAGCAGAGAAGAACCTGCCAAGGTCCCTGTGTCCTGGAGAGGCTGCACTGATGTTACAGACAGTGGGCAGCCAGAGGGAATGCAAGGGGTAGTGGGATTGGGCATCGTGGGCGGAAGGGTCAGACCTACTCACGGGGTCTGTACATACAAGTGTGCTTAAACTGGTGTCTTTTAAATTATAGATAAGTCCTGGGCTCCACTAATGCATTTCACTGTTTAACAGAGTGGAGTCGATGGAAGTTGACCTTTCTCCTTCCCCAATGAGAAAAGTAAGTCCAGCAGGCCACCTTGTCTCTCCTGTCCCAAGCCCACGTGCTCCCGTCTTCCCTTGTCCTCGGTACTTGTGAATTGGCCATGCTTTGAACAGTAGCCTGACTTCTGTCAGATTGTTGCTATTTGCTGGCCCCCGGGAGGCGGGGTGAGTGAACTGGGTCCTGAAAGACTTGAGGATGCATCTTGTCTGAATGGCCAGGCCTGTGGTCACCGAGGGGGCGGCCGCAGGGGCTGGGGCTTCACCTACTTCACACTGCTGGAGAGAAGCGAACCCTGTTGGCCCGGAAGGGAAGCAGGTCAGAAATCTGAGGACTGAGAAACCAACACGGCTGCGGGTTGGACAGGAACTGAAGGGGAGGTGCCAGGTGGGCGGCACTGCCCCTTGGGCAGAACTGGGTCTCCTGTGCAGCCAGCCAAGTCAGCCAGGCACTAGGCAGTTCAGAGGAGGTGGAAGAGGGCACTAGAGCTGGTGGGGCAGTCAGGTCGAAGGTCGAAGGCAGGACACCATGGGCTGGGGACAGGGAGGGTGCCACTCTGATGTGTGCTTGTTAGCATGTGCAGCTTCCTGAGCCCTTTGGGGTGCTGCTTATCAGCAGGCACTGTCCTACACACTCTGTGGGTGTGACAGCCCTGGGGGCTTGTTGGTGGGAAATCACGCCACTTCCAAGGGAGTCACCTGGACCTGCTGTGGAGGAGCCTGGATTCCAGTAAGGGGAGCCTTCGCCGCCTGCAGCTCTGGAGAGGAGAGACCTCAGTTCCTCGGCAGTTAGTGTGGGCGACAGCTGCCCCTCCCTGCCCAGCTCACCTCATGCAGTTCTGTCCATGCCTGCTTCCTGTGGTGCACCCCATGTGCTCTAGGCATCTGCCGCCCACCTGCCTCAGCACACCTTGCTCCTCAGAGACTAGACGCTTGCTTCCATCTGTGCCTGCTTCAGAGATGACCCCATGCCCCAGGCTTCCTAGACCCACAGGGTAATGAAGGGTTTTCTCCTGTTGGGTCAGCTTCCGGTTTTCCTCAAGACCAGGAAATTAGTCCAGGCTGGACACTGAAGACTGACAGGCTCCATTGACACCAGGTGTCACAGGGTGGCTGAAGGGCCAAGACACAGTGAATGGAACTCCAGAGCCAGGTGCCCAGCCAGATGTTGGCAGATGTTTACTAGAGAGGACCAGATGGTGAAAGTGAAGGGCTTTGCAGTCTGTTGCAGCTTCTAGGCTCTGCCACTGGCACCCCAGTAGCCKCAGGCCATGTGCAAATGAATGGGCACGGCCATCCCTAAAAGGCTTTGTCAACGCAAACCAGACGTGGGCCATGGCTTGCCAGCAAGATACGAAGTTTCAAGGAAAACATCTAAGACCAGTTTTTCTCCCTTGAAGTCCCCTGTGGCGCTGGAGGGGTGTGTGGAGGTTTCTGGGTGCGGTGGGTGCTCTCCTGTAGTGGGTACAGGCAAGGTACTTCTGGGAGCCCTGCTGCAGCAGGCTCTGCAGAGCCCTCGAGTGCTGCCTGAAGCCAGGTCTTTCTCACTGCCCTCAGCACAGTCATGCCTCTCTCCAGGGGCGGAGGCGGCCAGGTGACTTCTGCATCCAGGCCTCACCTTCCTCCTGTGCAGTCGGCAGTGGTAGTGACCGTGAAGTAAAATACATCTTCCAGATATAAAGCAGACACTCCTCACATGCCTCATCTACCCATCAGTGAGGGGAGGCCGTAGAATGGGGACTCTGACATGGAAGACCCCAAAGAGCAAGTCGGGTGTGGGGAGCACAGGCCGAGAGCCCCTGAGGCCGTGGACAGGAAGCTCTAGCCGGAAGGGCTTCTCCTRCTCTCTGGCCTCAGGAGTGCCCAGCAGAGACCTGCCCCAAGCACGCTGGGAACAGGGAGGGAGGTCAGTCTGCTGGATCACCCTTGAGTCAAGACTCCCAGGTGCTTGATAGGGCCAAGTGGGCACTGCAGGAAGCTGGTACTGAGGTGGGGGGATGCTGGTCTGCTGTGCCACCTGTTTGTGCTCTGGATGGGTTGAGTTGTCTCGTGTTTCCTGGGGATGCCTAGCTTCCTATAGAGAGGCCTCCCGTCTCGAAGACCTGTTCCCCAGAAGGTGGCCCCAATGTGGGACCCCTCCCTGGGCTCTCAGCCCTCTTTCCCAGAACCATTCGGAGGGATCTGGTCCTGCACTCTGCCTTGGCCTGGCTGCCCAACAGGCAGTAGGAACATGCTCTGGCTGGGTTCTAGTGACAGCTGAGACTGCTGCAGCTGAAAGCAGAGCCAGTGCCCAGACCAGGATGGCAGTTCCCAGAGACACCCCAGACACCTGGGCCTCCTGGCACCATCTTCCCTGGCCCTACCCTACAGATGCTGTGATCCAGGTACTTCCAAGCCACCAGAGTTGCCTGTGTCCCCATGACCTCTCCACTGGCTCAGGGGTGACCCCGCCCTGGAGGGACCAGCCACCCTACTTGAGCCCTGACTTGGGCAGCGGATGGGGATGTCATTGGCCTCTGGCCTGCTCAGCAGGCCACTTGTCCACTGGATGGCCCCTGGCATGTTCCCTACCCTGTCTCTACTCCCACCTGCATCTTCTCCCCATTTACTGGGAGTTGGTGACCTYGTCCACGCCCAGCAAGACCAAAACATGGGGTATTGGTAGCTTCTCTCCCTGAACTGCAGCTGCAGCCTGCATACTGTGGACATGGCAGACATGCTCTGGCCTCATGGGGCAGCTCTGGACACTCCCTCTCACCTGTCAGGAGCGCCCGCCCTCATTCCAGCAATGCTACTTCCATCTGCCGGCTGACTTTAGCATGGTTTGCTGAAGCAGCCCTGACACCACCTCCTCTTTGAATTGGGTTCCTTTCACTGCTCCACTGGGAGTCATCCTTGAGTGCTGCAGCCAGTCCTTCCCTTCTCTGTGGGCTCCCCAACTGTGGCCACTCAGTGGGTCCAAGTGTCCAGGTGCCTGTGGTTCACTGTGTACCAAGGCATCTCCAGCAGGCCTGGGCATGCGATGGGGAGTGAGGCAAAGAGCCACAGCTCATATCCAGCAGCACTCAGGTGCTACTCAGACAGCCCCTCTAGTTCCTGCGCCTTACCTTCTGCCCTCCACAGGTCACAGCCAGGCACGTACAGGCCGTACAATTTGAAACTTCACAGAGAAAAGCTAAGACTAGGGTGGGTGAGTCGTTTTTCCTCATCTTGCACCTAGCGAGGAAGAGGTCTTACTTGTGGATCAGCTCTTAAGCCCTGTCTGGGAGACAGCCTGGTAACAGTTGAAGCAAAAGGATTCAGAGAGGTTCGAGTGCCCAGGGTGACGGATACACTGAGGGAGTGTGGAGGGTGGCCCCAGGGCATGGCCTGCTCAGATGCTGATGTGCATCCTTATTGTTTCTGGCCTTTTGTCTCTGGCCTGGGCTCTTGTAATAAGATGTGCCAAGACCAGGTGCCTAGGACTGGCATCTGGGTCACACCAAGCGTGAAGGGTCTCAGTCACAGCTGTGTGACCTGGGAAGTCTCAAAGGTCAAGTAGGGAAGCTGAAGCGCTTGGCTCATGTTGCCACAGGGGGACAGGGGGCACTGAGCAGGGTTCAGCATAGGAGGCTCCTCCCAAAATAAGTCCCTAGCATTGTCAGGACTTGTTGACTTTGTCTCTCCTGAAACGCTTCGACACGGAGTGTAGTCCTGCTTCCACTCACCACCGCTGGCCCCGGTGAGACACAGAGAGTGGAGCTGGGAATCCCTCGCCCTTGCCAGCCTGGGCCAGGGCCAGAGGCCAATGCCCAGCCACGTCAGACAGGAACCTGTCTTGGAAGGACTGAGGAGGCAGAGCTCCAGGGAACGGGTTCCTCGTCAGCAGATTCTAAACCTCACAAGTGGCATTTGGAATTTTAATAGTTGGTTTTTTTTCATACTTAGCCTGAAGTAGCAGCTGGTCCCACAAGAATCTCTTTGATCAGTCCACCTCAGGATGGACGCATGGGTAAGTGAAAGTTCCAAGTCCACACACCAACTAAACCGCTCCTCCAAAGCCCCATGTTGGCAGAGTCGCAAGAAGGTCCCCAGGTGAGGGCTGTCCTGGCAGAGAGAGCAGAAGGCTGCACAGGTGCAGGGTGTGGCCCCAGAGCCCCGTGGGAGAAGCTCTTGGGCTGCCTTGGAAGATGCTGGTCCTGTGGCACTCTGTCCCTACTGGCCTCACTTGGAAGTTGTGATGCCAGGTTGCTTGCAGGGAGTGGCTTTGTGGCTGCTCCGTTTCCCTGCTGGTGAGGACTGCTGAGCCTCCAGGCCCTGATGGGCTCTGCACGGTCCCTGGCCTCCTGTGCAGGCTGCCACCCCCACTGTGCCACTTCTCACTGTGCCTCCCAGGGGTGGTAGTGGCTGACTCATCGTGGTGTGGTGCTGCCAGGGCCTGGCCATGTTGGGGCACAGACCCTTGTCTTCACAGGATCCTGCTTAGCACATAAGCCTCTGGATGCTCGGTGATGTCCTGAGAAGTCATACGAGGGCTGCCCCCGTGGCCGCCACTGCTCCAGGCTGAGCACCGCCCAGGTGCCCTCAGACATACCTGATGCCCTTGTTTCTTCTGTGCCAACCTGAGAGAGAAAAACATTATTTTGATGTTCATTTCCATGAGTGTTGATGGTTCTGAGTGTCTTGGTATTATTCACCTCTCGTTTTTTTCTCTGAATTATCTGTTTTCATGTTTTGAACGTTATGAATATGAAATCCTTGATATGAATGATATTGACCTTTTTTGCCCAATTTGCTTTGCAATTCTGCATTTGAGTTTTGGGTTTTAGAAACTTAACATTTTTGTGTACTCAAATTTGTTGCCCTTTTCATTTAATAAGGTGGTCAAGTGCATAACTAAATCATTYTCCTAGTTGGCTTTTTTAAGACTACTTTTTACAGTGGTTTTAAGCTAAAGGTAGAGGGCTGCCGTCTGCCTGTGGCCGCAGCACACAGCATGCCACCAGAGTGCTATGAGAGCAGAGCCAGCCTGGATGGGAGCCCCCAGCTGGGAGTCTCTCTGCTCTGGTCTGGACAGGGCTGTAATGACACACGTCCCCACTGTGGGAGCAGCCCTCTATGCCCTGCTGCCCCTCATCTCTCCTGGCCTTTTTACTGTCCCCAGTTTTGCCTTGTCCGGTGCGGCCTGCAGCTGGAGTTGAGTGTGGCCTTTCAGTTTGTCCTCTTGGCTTAGTCTGTGCTCTTGAGTGCTGCGCCTCTCGTTCCGAGGCTCGATGCTCTTTTCTTTCTAGGCTTGCATCGTATTTGCCCGTGGGGATACCCTGCAGCCATCCCAGCTGCTTCCCAGTCTGAGGCACTACTTATACTGCTGCAGTAATGTGCTGCCAGTGTTCAACTCCTATGGTCGACACCAAGTAGGATGGCTGCTGCTGGGCCTTGCTGGAGAGCATGCTGGTTCTGAAAGAAACTGCCGTGCTACAGGTTGCCCAGGTGCCCTCCACCAGCAGTGCCGCTCTGCAGCCTGAGCTGGCCTCAGAGTTGATAGGTGATTCCTGGAGTCCTGCCATGGTGGTTGGCGTTTCACAGTGAGCATCTTCTCGTTGACGTTTACCATCTGGACGACTTTTTGACATGTGTCAGGTCTTTGGCCATTTTTTGATCAGGCTGTTTGTTTTCTATTGAGGAATTCTGTGTATGTTTCGGGTAACAGTCCTTTATCAGATGTGTCTTTTGCGAATATCTTCTCCTGTCTGTAGCTTGTCTGTTTATTCCCTTGAATTATCTTTTGCGTAGCAGGATTCTTTGAGTTTTCAGTGTTTACCCTTGTCCAGATTCTTAGGCCTCTGTCTGGAAGCATACTGTAAGATGAGAATCCACCTTGCTTCTTTCATCATTTACTGGAAACTACTCCAGACACACAGAAATTTTGTAAAAACATCATAAACGGTTCTCACATCCCCTCCAGGTTCCCTGACCACTAACCTCTGTCAGAGCTGGTCCCTGTTGTCACTGGTGTCTCGCATGTCACAAACCTGATGCCTGAGGCCCCTGGAGAAAACAGAGCACCCAGCACTCTGGCCCAGCCTTGGCCTCCACAAGGCCCTGCTCTCCCTCCAGCCAGAGCCCTCAACAGAGTGTCTTTCCATCATCCTCCACACTTTCCCCCGGGCTCTCCATTTCTTGTCCTTAAAGAATATAGACCTTAAATTCTGAAGATGACCTGGAGCCTGGGCTGTCTGGAGTTTCCTCCTGTGACCCCATGTGCTGTTGTGGCAGGAATGTGCCAGTTCTTCCTGTTAACTCACACCAGGGTGTACAGGTTGCCCTGTCCCCTCCCTGGGGACACTGACCACACTGCCATCTATTGGTCACTTCACTGCAGTTCCATCTGCCCACAATGAGTGGATCTCAGAGTCTCCCTGACAGTGATGCGTGTTCGGCCTCCAACCACACTCAACCTTAGTTCCCAGGACCAGCTCCCAGGACCGCCTCACGGCACTTTTCTGTGTCCATAATTTCTTCTCCACATTCCACTACAAATTCCCAAGTCAGGCTTTATTGATTCATTACACTCTGGAATCAGATTTCTGTTTTCTTCAGTGYGTTGTTAGTTTATCTGCTTAGATTCTCCCAGATACAGCCTGGCATGGTGGTGCACACCTGCAATCCCAGCCACTCAGGAGGCTGAGGCAGGAGGATCACAGATTCAATGCCAGTAGGACTGTGGACAGTAAAGACTGGGATCGTGAAGTTTCTGAGGAGGAGGACTCCATTGGAGTACGACTATAGGCCATTTGTGTTATGTTCTAGCAAAGCAGTTCTCTACTTTTGCCCTGAGACTTTCTGTGAGGCTCAATTTAAAGGTGATGGAGTGATTAATCTGGCAGAGGAAATATCAAGGGAGCGCAGCATGCAGGCAGTAGAACGAACATTGCTGGTGGTTTTTAGCCAAGTATACTGTGATAATCAGAAGCAGAAAGCAGAGAGCAAAGATTTTAAAAACTTCAAGTTTGGCCAGACAGTGGGAGTAAAATTGGGACTAAGAAAATTGTGGTTGTTAACAGAGATTACAACCACTAAAGAAATGCTAAATACTCTATATAGAAGTGATAAGAAGCAGGGCTGGGGCTGGGGCTCAGCGGTAGAGCACTCGCCTACCATATGTGAGGCCCTGGGTTTGATCTTCAGCACCACCTAAAAATAAATAAATAAAATGAAGATACTGTGTCCAACTACAACTAAAAAATAAATACTTAAAAAAAGAAATAATAAGAAGGATGGTTTGAGTGCAACTCAGGAATTGGTAAAACCATGCCCATCTCAGGCTCATGGTTATRAAAGTAAAAACTCCTTTGAGAAGAGACCACTGGGGCATTCTGCTTGCATAGGAGGCTTAAGAAGTTGTTTTACCGTGTTCAGCTGCCCAGGCACTCAGAGGCCACTGCAGTCAGGGTCCCAGGAGGCTTAGCTACTGCTTGATATGGCGGCAGACGCTGATTTCAATGATATGGTCCTGATTCTGGAGGACTATAGGATGCTGGATTAGGGGGTCATGGAGGCTTCCACCGAGATTTTTCAAAGCAAGGCCTAGGAGGCCAGGCAGAGTGCAGCAGGGGCAGAGTCCCTGGGGGCTGCCCTGAGAGGGTGATGTGTGGAGACGTGGAAAGGAAGCCAGTGCTGCAGTGCAGACCCCCACGGTTCAGAGACCCCCATACCATGGACTCTCTGCCAAGGAAAGCTGCAGGAATCAAACAGAGACAAGCCCAGAGAGAAGCTTGTGGCAATAACCAACAAGGTCATTRGGGTAGAGCGACACAAGTCCTTTGGAGAGAACATCATTGCTAAGATTCAGATGTGGTGTCCCCAGAAAGCTCACATGTGAGACCAGGCAGGGTTTGAAGGAGAAATGATAGGGTTATAGGCTTACCTCATCAGTGAGTTAATCCCTGAGCAGGTAGGGTGTGGCTGGTGGAATGCCAATAGGACTGTGGGGCATGGCTGTGGGGTATGTGCTTTGAGTCTGGTGAGTAGAGTCTCTCTGCTTCCCGGCTGTCATGTGAGCTGCTTCCCTCTGCCAGTATTCTGCCATGGTGCTCTGCCTCACCGCGAGCACTGAGGAATGCAGCCGGCCTTCTGTGGACAAAGAACTTCCAAACTGTGAGCCCTCAAATAAACTATTCCTTCTCTACAATTATTTGGGTYAGATATTTTAGACGAGCGGCAAAAAAGCTTATTAAACCAATTACAATGCCGTATGCCCCAGATGCTGGACCCAGAGCTACAGGACTTATTTGCCCAGCCGGATTTTGGTCTTGCTTTGTTCCTATCTCTTCATTCTGTATACCTCTGTGTCTTCCTTTAGGGATGGAAATGTTCATTCTTTGCCATTATATATTGGATATATGTAACTTCTTTTGATCTTTACGAGAGAAAATAGCTAAGAATTTGCCGAGTCTCAGGTAAGATTTCGGATTTGGACTTTTAGGCAGTGCTGGAACTTTTTTTTTTTTTTTTTTTTTTTAAGAGAGAGGAGAGAGAGAGAAAGAGAGGGGGGAGAGAGAATTTTTTTAATATTTATTTTTTAGTTCTCTGCGGACACAACACTTTTGTTTGTGTATGTGGTGCTGAGGATTGAACCCGGGCCACACGCATGCCAGGCGAGCGCGCTACTGCTTGAGCCACATCCCCAGCCCCCAGTGCTSGAACTTTTAAGACTATGGCGGCTATTGGAAATGGACTGATTGTATTTTGCATTGTGAGATGGTCATGAGCTTTTGGGGGCCAGGTTGGAATGTATAGTTTAGACATGATGTGTCCCCCAGAAGCTCATGTGTGAGACGATGAAGAGTTGTCACAGGTGAATTATTAGATGAGGAGAGCTATCTGTAGGCTGATCCACTAATATGGTAGAGGGGTGGTCTCTAGGGCGTTGTCCCTGGTAAGTGGAGCTCTCCCTGCTCCCTGACTGCCAGGTCCTGAGCGGCTTTCTCTACCAGGTCCCCTGTGCCAGGA